ATAAGGGCTGTCTTTGAGGTTTTTTTATATATACAGTTTAGTTTCCCTTAAAAATCATGTTATGGCAAAGTTGGTTGAGTTAGAATTATAATATTTTATTTAAATTTTTGTGTATCATTAATAATAAAAGAATGTTTAAAGTATTACAAAATTACAGTATAACCTTTTCATTATGAGATAAAAGTTAAAATCCAAGAGTTATAGTTACATGAGTGAATAATTTCAGATTCTACTTAGTTCCCATGAATTATTCAGAATCTTTAAAGCTTTTCTTTGAGAATAACTATTCATTGGTAGAAATACTTTAAAATTAACAGTTACTGGTTTTTTTATTACAGTCTGAAAGGTAAAGATGATGTTAAAAATCATACCTGTATTACATAACTTAGCTTGTATAGTATAATAACAAGTGTTAAGATAGAGACGACATCTTGTAACCCCCATATATGGTAACAGTGGTAAGTCCCAACATAAAGTTTAGTAAGCATATCTTATTCAACCACGTGTATTTAATTTATATGTATTGTAAACTTGTGTGAATAGCAAACAGATTTTAACAGACAATATGAAACAAACTTTTTAAAGATATTTGTTTCTTGGTATATTTTTGTGATAAAATACATTATCTCTAGATTTTGTGAATTAATCTTCTAGTTTTGTTTATAGATAATATTTGAAAGTTAACTTTTTGTAAAATTACTTTCAGCGAGGGTGGAAAACATGTCAACCAAGGGAAAGTTGGATTAGCTATTATTGGAAATCATGAGTTACCAATGGTATTGTATTTTAATTTTCCTTTTTTATTGTTTTTTTTTTAAAGTGGCTGCTGTGAGTAGTTGTGTAAGACCTGTTCTTTTATTTCATTATATCTGTTTCTGATTCAAATATTACTATCAGTGTTAGTTCTAGTTGCAATTATTGAAATTGAGTTTCTTTATTTGTGTTAATAATCATATTTTTTGGAATAACTTATTAGATGAATTATACAATAAATAAGAGATTATTTAAGGAGTATTATATTTACAGTCTGTTATATTAGCTACTTAAGTAGTGCCACACATAGACTATTTAAAAGGTAGTACAACAAGATCTTTAATGAGTACAACATTCAGGCTGTGTAAATAGTGTCATGAGCCCTGCTATTTTAAAGGTATTGCAACAGGATCTTTAATGAGTACAACATTCATGCTGTGTAAATAGTACCATGGGCCATGCTGTTTAAAGAGTATTGCAACAGGCTCATAGATTGTTTAAATTGTGACACAATTACGGACTATTTACAGACTACCACAATTTTGGGTAATTGAAGGAGAACATAACATTTGAGCTATTGACTACTTAACCAGTGTATTATAAACAACATACAGTGAAGTATCAACCTTAGTAGATTATTTAATTAATTATGCTATTTTTATTTTATTCAAAGACTTAATTAAACATTATGAAAGTAAAATTAATAAAATGCTTATAGGCAGAAACTTTAGTTAAAAATAGTTTTAGCTTCATTTTTTACATCTTTCATTATAGCATAATTATGAGGTAAACTAACAAAATTTGTTTGTATTTGGCTGCTGCCATTAGTAGAAAACAAGATTTTCATATGGATAGTCAGTTGTGTGACTTTTCTATACCATAGATCAACGAGTGAACATGTTTCACACTGATCACATATTTCTTGCAATACAATGAACTTAAATAGTTGTATTTCAGGACTTTCTGTTATGAAGTGAAATCTTGAGAAAATAAAGTAAGGAAATTATTTTTCTAGAAAGAAGGCATCTAGTATTTTGTCAATGAGTACAGCCAACAAATTGAAGGTAATATATCAATGATGTCAGAAATGTATTGCCAATTTTATGAACATAATATGTAAGAAATGAAAGGTTGTATTTTTTAATATACATTGTAATTATTCCTAACAAATGAAGCATTTTCGATGACGAGGAACCCACTTTGAGATTAATAATGGCTGTAGACAGCTTGAATGGATAATGAAGAAAAACTTTAATATAAGTTTAACATAACAGCAAATGTACAACGTTTCGACAAGGTTTTGTCATCATCCGGGAAAAATAAATTTAACTGCCCAGGATAATGGTTGTAAATTGCTTTTTCCAGAAGGTGACCAAACCTTGTT